GCGCACTCTAGTAGGGCTCCAGCAGGGCTCCAGCGTGGCTCCAGCGTGGTCGCTCCGGCGCAAAAATTCATCTCGTCATCTCTTTTGCCCTTGCCGTCAGGCGCAGAATTAAGCAACCTGGACCTTTTGGCTGCGCACCCGCTGTCGGAATTGCTTCCACACACGCCTCCCCTTTGTGTGCATAACTTTCTCTCTTCTTCTTTTCCCCTTCTTCCTCATACAGTTGCTTCGTTGTTTTGTTGTTGTTCCTTTGCACGCAACCACCGCAGCAATCTCTTTGTTTTTCTTCCTTTTTCTTATACACAGGTCCCTGGCTGGTCTGCTCTGGTTCTCTGGTTCCGTGTTTTCCTCGCAGCCACTCTTGTGCATCGCGGGATTCACACTTGGCTTTGCGCCCCTCTTTGGAAAACCACTTGTAGGCTCCTGGCCGCAGTCATGAACTAGTGTCCCCCCCAAACCTCTCTCCCCGCGTTCTTCCTCCCCCCCCCCCGTCTTGCTCCTTGGGCAATCTCGTCTTTTCCCTTATCTTTTTTCTTGTCGTCCAGTCATTTGTTTCCACAATTGGCACTTCCATCCGGAGTGCCTGAATCGACAATGCCCGTTGTTGACCCATCATCCAACAGGACCGCCGCTACCGACGAAGATGGAGCGGATCACATCGGCTCTGACACACCACGGTCTGGCGTAGCGACCCCCCAACCTGACCTCCACGACAAACGTCTGCCGGGAATCATGAGCTACTTCAGCCAGGTTCGTCAAGACCCTTCTGCAACCGAGACTTCTGCTTGTGCTTCCTGTGTTCCTGTTACTTTGGTGCCTGTCGGCTCCGACTCCGGCTTCACATCCTCATCCTTGGATCAACAGCCAGATCTGCCAGCCCAGAGGCACCCTAGGCACTCTCCTACCTCTTCGGAGAAGCAGCAGCCGAGTCCTTGCCAGAATTCGTTGCGCTGCGCCCGAAGGATATCAGACTGCCGTCTTCCAATGCCCTTGGAAAAGCTTGGTCTTGCCTCGAGCCACGTCTTACCATCGAGCATGGCTTCGCATCCATACCCTACTCCTCCTTCCTCACAGCCATCATATTCCGAAAGCTCTTCATGTAAAGGCGCAAACTTCGAAGACGGAGAAGCTGCCAAGACGGTCTCCAATGGAAGAACGTCAACCATACGTGAAATTCACCAACGGATAAGCTCTCGTGCACCTCCAGTCTCGACCCAGCAAGACACAGTGGGCGCGGGCGCTGAGCTTGTCATCCCCCCTGCCACATCACAAACACATCCCTCGTCGTCATCTTTGTCATCCTCACCGTCCAAAACCACCCCCAATCTACCCCAAACCTCTGCTCCAAGCAAGTGGTTCTCGCTCGAGGGACTCAAAGAGCTAACGCGTGGTGTCATCTTCAAGAGTGGTCCGCCGACTCCCACAAGAGCCTTATCTGCTGCCCACTCTTCTCAATCGGACGGCAGAGACACCCCAAGCAGAACTAGTCATGATGGAGCAGAAACGGCTAGCGGAACACAGACCCCACGAACCGCCGGCGTTCAACCTCCCGCTCAAAAAGGCAAGCTGACCATCAAAATCGTCGAGGCTCGTGGATTGCGAAAGTGCCGAGATCCCTACGTTGTCGCAGTATTCCAACGGAGTGAACTCATTTCGGGTGGTCCGCGGCCCATCGAAGAGGAGGAGACTTTAAGTGCTACCCCGTCCGGGCTCGGTGGCATTCCTATACAACGCCAGGGCAGCGACTCGGGTCGCCCGCCAATTGCCATCCCCATGAGAAGTCGTCAGAGCAGCAATACGAGTATTCACGACTACAACACCTTCCGCAATCGAACTATGCGTGCGCCATCCAGCAATCCTAAATGGGACGCCGAAGCAGTCTTGTATGTGGTCTTTTTCCCCTTTCTACTGGAGATGCCGCCACTCTTCTCTCCACTTGAATGTGCTAACGAGCTGATTACAGCGATGTTGTGGACACTGACATGTTGGTCGACATTTCGGTTTACGATCACACTGCTACCGGAGAGGAATTTCTCGGCCATGTTGATTTCCAGGCTGTGAAAGACGGCGAGGGTCCCGTGAGAGGATGGTTCACGTTACGCGGACATGCGGATACCATCGCCGAAAATGCGCCGACCGGCGAAATATACGTTGAAGCCTTTTACCAGACTTCTGAGAAGAAACATTTTGGACCCAGTGATTTCGAAATCCTGAAGCTTATTGGCAAGGGTACTTTTGGACAGGTCTATCAGGTACGAAAGCGAGATACACAACGAATCTATGCAATGAAGGTGTTGCAAAAGAAGGTAATCGTGCAGAAAAAGGAGGTGGCCCACACTGTTGGTGAACGCAATATTCTTGTGCGGACAGCTACCTCGGACTCGCCCTTCATCGTTGGCCTCAAATTCTCCTTTCAAACTCCCTCTGAACTGTACTTGGTTACCGATTACATGTCTGGAGGAGAGCTGTTCTGGCACTTGCAGAAAGAAGGTCGATTTGACGAAAGACGGGCCAAGTTCTACATTGCCGAGTTGATTTTAGCCATTCAGCATTTGCATAACAACGATATTGTCTATCGTGACCTCAAACCGGAAAACATCCTCCTCGACGCCAACGGTCATATCGCCTTGTGCGACTTTGGTTTATCCAAGGCCAATTTGACCAAGAATGACACTACCAATACGTTTTGCGGCACGACGGAGTACCTCGCCCCCGAAGTTCTTTTAGACGAATCTGGATATACCAAGATGGTAGACTTCTGGTCTCTCGGTGTTTTGGTCTTTGAAATGTGCTGCGGCTGGAGTCCTTTCTATGCAGAAGATACCCAACAAATGTACAAGAACATTGCTTTCGGCAAGGTCCGATTCCCTCGCGATACTCTTTCGCAGGAAGGCCGGAACTTTGTCAAGGGATTGCTTAATAGAAATCCAAAGCACCGACTCGGCGCAACGGATGATGCCGAAGAGCTGAAGCGCCACCCGTTCTTTGCTGACATTGACTGGGATATTCTCGCAAAGAAGCTCATTACGCCTCCCTTCAAGCCCAAGTTGAAGTCTGAGACCGATGTCTCCTATTTTGACCCCGAGTTCACCACGGCCCTTGAACAAAACGGTTCTCTCAACGAACGGGCCGCCGCATTGGCCCGTGGTTACGCCGCTTCAACACCCCTGTCTCCATCTGTCCAAGCAAATTTTCAGGGCTTCACCTTTGTCGACGAGAGTGCTTTGGACGACCACATGAGGGATCGGTTCAGAAACGATGACGAGGACATGGGCGATACTCAAACACGCCACGATGAGGATGATTGGGATAATTTGGATGACATTGACCTACGTAAAGCAAATCGCATGAGCGGCATTGTGAAGACGTCGACCGCAGACGAACACATGGTGGGTGGTGCTCACTTTGATGTGTAACCAAATTTTACAGCCTCGGGACGAAGAGAAAAACAAACGGAAAATCCAGCGCTGGCAATTAGTTTACCCAGTACGTTATATCTTGTTCTCACCCCATCTCTCCGAGGGCTTTTCTTTCAGCATGAAATGGGTTTATTCGGTCATACTGCATATGGGGATGGTTCGGCTCTCTGTTCTTTTTTTGGTTCGTTTTGGCTGTTTTTAGTCGCTTTGACCATGTGTTTTTTATATCATTTTTTGCATCGGCATCATCTCATGGGACCTCAACGAGCTGGAGGATACTCGGCGTTTTATGGTTGTGAGGTGGGATGCTGGAGCTGGCAACCTGCTTTTTGCTTTTTTCGCTTGTAAATACCGGTACCGAGGCCCCATTGTTGAAAGTCAGTAAAGTCCAAAAAACGGGAATAAGGGGCTTCTTCACTGTCTAACGCGCTGCATATGTTATGTCAGGATGCGGGAAAAAAAAGAAAGAGAGAAAGATGGGAAACTGTGTTTTTATGTCGACATGTGCGCATGATCTTGGGGAGTCGGGAAGGCAGGTTAATGGTTTGGTAAAGAAAGCCTGAAGACGGCCGCTGCTCTTGTGACAGACACATGGAGTCATTATAAGGCAGCACAGGCGCATTAATGCATACATTGTGTGGTCATGCTCTCGAGTATGAAGAGCAGCCATTTAAAAAGGTTTAAACACAATAAAATGTTTGGCAAACCGTCGTGGTCCCCTCTCATATCGTGAAGTTTTACGTGTATGGCACTTCTTGGGAAATCGATTCCATTCTACATATAGAAGGGGGGCCATTTCCGAGTCGAGTTGGGGGACGCCCGTCCATGCTCGTTCCGGTCTACGGTTCCGTGTGGCTTTTCAAGCGGCTCAGTTTCTACAGACAGCTGGTCCTTGATACATTCATGTAACTGATGCAGGTTGGGCTATGAAAAGGGAGGGAGTTTTCGAGGCGACTTGAGAAGTTGTGTTCCCCCCTTGTGAATACTGGTTGTACTCTTATATCGACCTACTTGGGCGCTAGTTATGATTGTTTGGAGGTTTAGATTTGATATCACACCATGTTGTTGGGGGGTTGCGGCTCGTAACTCATCTGCCCGGGCTATCACAAGCCATTCTTAACACGGTTGACCTTGTCCGTCTGTCAGCAGGGACGGGGTCCTCCAAAAACTTTGCAAGACATGGATCTAGCTGGTGTGGTACCAACTTCTCACGGCACGGCAACGGTAGACTCAGGTTTGATGGTACACAGCTAAGTTTGATTTCTTTGCTTACTTCTCTTCGCATTCGCAAAACGGTCAAAGTCCTACGCCCCAATTGAGGCTTGTCAAGAGGAAAATGTACAATAGGATTATCGACTCCATCGTCACCCATCACCACCTGAACGTGTCCCTGTCTTTCGTGACCGGCTCTGTCCGCTCGTTGAGACGAGACAGCGCCGTCAGCTTGTTGCACAAACAAAGGAAACCTTGCTCTGCCGCGCATGTCCCCAGACACGCCAGACACCTTCCGCTTCCACCTTTAAAAATGTCGAAATGTCGAGTTCTATTATCAGCGTCCGAGGGTGTGTGTTGTTTTGGAGTCTAGTGGGCGGGCTCGTCGTCCTCCTCGGCCTCGAGCCAGTCGGGGAGCGCGGCGGAGCCACTCTGGCTGGTCTGGGTGGCATCCTGGCCTTCAATCTCGACGGCCATGCTCTCGTACTCCTTCAGGTTGCTGGCGAGGTCGGACTCTTCGGGGGAGGCGGGGGTCTTGGGCATGGCGAATGCCTGAACGTGGCCTTCAGAGTCGGACTCCTTGACGGCGGGGGTCTTGTAGGCCTTGAGCTCCTTCAGGTAGAGATCCTGGACGAAGTCGGCTGTGAAGAGACGGGAAGGTTAGCCACGTAGCTTCCGCGCTTGGTTCGTGGGTATGTGGACGCAGGTTGGTAAGATGTTGCCGAGGCTAGGGAGGACTGGCTGGTGATTGAGTCGTGTCGTTTGTGGACTTTGGCAGCAAGCATCGACCATCACCCAAGATAATCCAGCTAGAAGAGCTGCATGTGTATCGGGTGACTGTCGGGGGCAGATGGCGGATTCGGGATAAGCAGATGATGCCGACGGATATAGCCGTGAGAGGCGCCATCTCCTCATTCGTCGGGGTGACAACGTTGGTCGAAATCTGGGGGTGAAGAGGGTAAAAGGGGGGCAAACACATGTTTCTCACCTTTCCTCGAGACGGTCGGGGCAATGAAGCCTCGGACCTGGGCAGCATTGCCTCTGGTAACTCGAGCGACGGCGCGGACGGCCGAGGTGGCGCGCTGGTGAACCGAATCAGTTCCAAGCTCCCTGCAATGAACGCCGTCTCGAGCTTTCGGGCGTTGCGGGCGTCGACAGCGTTGCAAAAATGGTGATTATCAACTTACCGTGGCCCTGGACAGTTGGCTGAGCATTATGAATGGCTGGGTGTTGCTCAATCGGGAACCCTGACTATTATGGGGAGGTATGGTCTGAGGCTTTTGTGAAAATCATGATGTCGTTTTGCCCCGGCTGAGTCGGCCAGCCGTGTAAATTTCTGCCTCAGGCTGAGCTGCCTCATTGGCGGTCCAAAGCTAGCGGCACGTGATTAGGTGTGTTTGGCTTTCAACTTCCCACGTCTGTCCAATTGCCGCCGACTTGCATTTTATTATTATCGGTGACTTGGTGAAGAAAACTTTGGTGATTGGCTTGGTTTGAAATGAGCAAGCTTTTGAATTTTTCTTTTTTTTTACGCTTTGGTCCTTGACTCTGTTTTTGCGATTGGACCTCGAACTTGCAACAGGCGGAGGTGAACCGGTACGGCCAAACCCGAGGATGCTTCAGAACCGGAGACATGGCGGAATCCACTGGTGCACTTTTACCTGGTGGGAGAGAACAGGAAGCGTACCAGCAGTGAGTCTAGTAGGATAATAGGTCATACAACCGGCTCGATATGCAACTTGAGTTGCGCAAAAAGAATCTTGTTACGGCGTATTTACTACTCTGCAGATCTTGCAAGTCGGCTAATATAGAACATTAGAATTCTCAGCAAAAGGACCGCCACTTTTCTCCCATTTCACCCGCCTAACATGTTGTTGTCCAGATGGAACTCATTCAATTTCATATCGCATCTTGAGAACCGCGCTGCCAAGGGATATTTTACTGTAACGAACGCCTGCACTCTCTCTCCCAGCTCTCGGTTCCAAGCTTCCTGGCCTGGATGCTGCAGCCTCTTACATTTTCGCGAGCTCAGTTTGGGACGATGACTGAAAATGTCGGATTTGTTGCCTCTTCCTCTTAATAATACCGAAACTCATACCGGCGAGGTACATGACAGAGACCATGGTCGCCACTATGGCGTAGGTGACGACAAATCGTGAAGACGCTCCGGCGAATTGAAGGCCAATGCCTCCATTGACAATACCCAGAATCATTATGATACGTCCGTACCAGATGTGAACGTGACTGACAGGACCACGCTCCCCGTGTTTGAGAAAATACTTGTGGTGCAGCCAGCCTAGGATTGGCTGTATTGTCATTAGGATGGAGACGGCAATACCGAGTTGCATGTGTGCATCCTGAAAGAGCTAGAGACAGAATGTTAGCAGCCTCAAAATAACAATCGACCTGGGAGAAGGCCCGGATGGAATTGAGGGAGGGAAGAGCTGTACCGTGCCGGCCCGCGAAGATATAACATAGCCGAGAGCAAATCCAACCCACATTCCGACAAATGCGAGCAGCTGCCAGCTAGCATGGATAAGCCATCTACCAAGCAGAGGCATAAGGGCTGATCCAACTGGGTACCCAATCAGGAAAGCAACGGCCATGACGATGCCATGCGCATACAACATGGCCATACCATTGCCCTCGTCGGTCTCGACTCCACTAGCATCGGGTTTGGTAGCGCCGTTCGTGGCGGGAGTAAGAAAAGGGTTCGAGTCGGAAGCAATGGTGGCTTGTTGTAGGTTGACCGAGAAGCTTGAAAAGGCATCATGGTACGGAATCGGCTCAGAAAGACTTGACGAGTCGATGGCCGGTCCCATGTTCCAGGCATAAAGCCAGCTCGAGGAACTAGATGTATCAATATCGGAACAATCTTTGCATAGTACATTGGCAACAAGGTTGCCATTGACGATCCCCGATCCAGGAAGCAGTTCAACGTCTGAACGAGCTTGGTACTCGGGCATGACGTGCCCTTTGCCTTGTCTAGTGCTGAGGGTCACGCCGCTTCCATTGTGATAGACGACGAACATGCTCGATCCCTTCATGGCGGACCCTGTGCCCAAGGCAAACCATGATAATGAGGTAGGGGCTCGAAGCTGGAAGTAGAGATTGGCCGGACTCGCCCTGCTGCTGCCGGCGGGTATGCCCCATTGGAAACACATTTCCCCATCGCCTGGACAGGTGGCCGCTAGAGCGGCCTCTGTGGTTGATGCATCTGTTGGCGGGAAAGTATTTTCTTGTCAGTATTCTCGTGGCTGAAGGGTGGATTTTGTCAGCTGCTGGAACGAGCAGACGGCACTTACACGCTGCGATAGTGGCAGCAACAATTGCCTTCACTGAAAGTTTCATGTTGGTCTTCTTGAATAATGTGTAAGTGAGTAGATGATTTCCAGAGTTGAATCGGGAAATGAATTCACTGGATAGGTAAAAGGGGATCGGATGGTGTTCTATGTCCACGAAACTCCTTGGGTACAGGGCCAGCCTGTGAAAAGTCAAACGGACGTTTCACCGAGTAGTTGAAGCGCCTCGACGTAACGGCGAAGATGGACAGGCAGAGCTAATATATCCACAGAAGGAAAGTCCAGAAAATGGAGGCGCGCCAGCCGTAACGAGCCAAGGGGTCTGGCTAGCATGCTGGATGATGCTTGCTCCATGGAGTGGTTTCAAAACTCCCCCTTCACACGACCCCGGACCCAAGAGCGGCAGCCAAAGAGGCCAGCGATATTTCACACAAGGATTGCCAAGCAAGCGGGATAGACGAAGATGTTTGAGAGGGGCACGTCAGATTGACGCCGTCTGGGAAGAAGCGCTGTGCTACAAGGTGTATTTTCCAGCAGGGTCAAGGCCATGACGAGGACGGCCAGCCTGAAGAGAAGAGATGTTTGGAGGAGTTTCAGCTAATGCATCGCAGCCATGGTGTGCCATGTTCATAGCAAAATGGGCATCTTTTGGTACAATCCGGTCGCAACACTCTGGTGTGGTGGTGTCGACAGCCTCGGCGGTTATTTTGATACGAAACCCCAAAATTTCAGCGCTCCAACATCTCTTTTGATTCTGCACTTCAACCTACCCTCTTTTCCTGCCGAGGGCCAGACGTGTTACATGGACTTAGGCTGGGGGCTATGCCGTGGCATCTGCGTCTCGACTCTCGACAAGCAGTGCGCGGCCAGCGAGGCGCTGGATACAACAGTCATGGACTCATGGCACGCATGAACCACAGCGATGGGAAGATTGATGACGATTCTGGCATGCCACGCCTCGATAGCTGGGCTGGAGCGTGCGCCGAGGATGTTGCGAAACGATGCTGAAGATCAGATCACACTAGTACTGATTGCCAAGCAGAAGGCCTCCAACGAAGCAAACTTTCGACCTGAAGGGTCAACTGCTACGGGAATCGTCATTCGTCCTGCGCAGTAAACCAGTTAGTTACACACTCAACAACTCGACGGTGTAGAGTGAACGTCGCTGATCAGTGCCAAAGAGGAGTGTCTTTTTGCCTGTTTTAGACGTGTTTTGGGGCGTGGCTACAATGCAAGTTGCTTCAAGGAACATGATGTGCCAAGATTTACACCTCGCCAAGTCCACATGATCATAATGTTGATGTGGAACACGGCACTTTGATCCCGGCTGCAAGATGGTAGCGTGGCCTCTGCTGGTCTTCAGTCCAATCAGTATACTACAATATTGGTCCGTGTCAATGCTGACGATTACATCGGATGTGTTTCTCATACGTCGCTCTGCTCGCCCTCCCTTCCCCAGGCCAAGATCATCCCGACTAATAAGCCACGATCTATATCTGCTTAAGCTTTTGAATCGTCGATGCACACCCAATGCAATCAGGAGATTCCACCTAGTCGCCGGTTCCGCGGACAGCGCAGCAAGGGCGACCTCCAGACGAATGATACCCATCATCTTGGCAGTCAAAATTTAATAGCTCTGCGCAACCGCGGGGGCAGACTTCGTCCGACGGCCTCATCCCGTCAATGCAACCAACCTGCGCCCAGCTTGGGCAAGAAAACACACCCTCCGAGGACAAAACCCATCTTGCATGTCCTCCGCAAAAGCACCCAAGCACACACCCGTAGGAGGGAATGCGAACAGGCTCAATCGGGCATATCCCGAGCAATTAAATTCACCATGGCTGATGACTCGAATAGCTTTTTTTACCCGTTTCGAGCCCGCACCAGATGAAACCACACTTTGTCGTGTATCAAGGCGCATGAATTGACAGGGGACCGTTGGCACAGCTAGAGCCAGTCTTCTCAACCCATTAGTATGAGAATCGAGGGGAATGGGCGTAGCCAAGAGACCCTCCTCAAAGGCCCTCCATCCATGACGCAGGATAGGAGAAACACGCCCGTGACATGGCTTCACGTATGATGCGTCACATCCAAGTACCACGTATGACTCGTTGCAATTGGCAAGTTGATCCCCCAAACCGGTCAATCGCAAACAAAAACGGGGCAGAAAAGCAAAAAACTAAACAATACATAAAATTTCACATTCGCTAGCCATGTATCAAACATGATCTCCCGACGACAAAACACCCTGATCGCATCTGTCTAAGCTCTAAGCTTTTCAATGGTCAAACCCATCCTCTCCCCAAAAATGTCTGTAGGCCACGTCTACTCTAAAAGTTCAAGTTGAATGAATGCATGAAATCGAAACCATTGCAGACGTGTGTATCATAACCATGGCGAGCAAAGACACACAAACGCGACACGCAAGCAACCCTGCCCCACGAATGTCCACGGATAATGGGAAACATGCCACAATCCAAGGCGAAAGACAGAAATGGCCCGTACACTCTTCACTGCCACAAGCGCATGCAAACATGGACCTGGCCAAATCTGCTCGGAAAGAAACCTGTTGCTCGGAACACCCGTTCTGCGATTTTGGGCTCCCAACGCAAGCCAACACTTTACACGCCATTGGCCACCGAGAACATGCTGCTTTCAAGTAGGCTCGACGATGCCACAAAGCTAAAGCCCCCAAACACATCGTCCTTGGTCGATCCGCTCATCGGCCACGCGTCTTTAGAGGTCACCAACGGGCTGAGAGCCAGGTCTGTAAACTCAGGAGCAAAGTTCTCAGCAAGCTCCGGGTCTGTAATCATGGGCTGAATGGGCGGTTCCAGTTCCCGAGCCTCGAGCTTCTTCCAGTCAATCTTGCGAAAGAACCGGTGCTTCTTGAGAGTCAGCAGATCTTTGGG